ATTTCTGCTGAGGATTCTGCCTTCAGTCACTGTAAGTTCAGTTTTCACCTGTCACCCACCCCGTGATCTACTCCCAGGACAACCTCCACCACCATCATCTGCCCCCAGTTCTGTGTTGTTTAAACTTGCAGCAGACATTACTGTATACGCACTGCAGTGCTACATAGGGTCAACTCAACATTTTTGCCACGCTGTCCTGCTGAAGTTCTGATGCGAATAGGCTTATAATACTTTCCATTCAGCTGCTGTCAAGATCTGTTGAAATGCTGTTTGTGCCCTGCAGCATGCTTATTCAAAAGGAAAAAAGGCAAGTCTTCGCTTCCTGCTCAGTGTTATTCATTACTGGCCAAAAGCAACTGGTTTACTGATATTTTACTGTCGCCAAGTATTTTAAGCAAGACTATGTAACTTTTGAAAAAACATATTTAACCTAAAAAAGGTTTAATATGTGCAAAATAAAATTCAACTTTATTAAAGTCCGCATACCCAAGATTTGTTTTCTATAACCTCTTGTGATCATTACGCTGTACCTGACCTTACTGAGTGTGTGTGCAATTCATTAACACTACTGTGTAAGGATGTCACAGGTCCCTATGGTTTTATCAGAAAAGTAAAACAAAAAGTAAAGATGTACCTGACAAGAGCACATGTTGGTTGTCTGCTGCGGTTGATGCTTGGTCACACTTATTCTAAGCGTATGACAACAGTTAGGCATTGCGGTCTTGTTTATCCCAGTGGGCAAATGCAGTACGGTATTAGAGACAAATATGAGATTCTGGTGTATCAGCAGGTATCAAAAGAGGTGCTTTGCATTTGCTGTTTTCATCTGCACACATCAGTTGCTCGGTAGGACAGAGGATATCTTATATAGGTCCGGGGCATTGTAGGGCTTATTTGACTGGCAATCCTGAATGCCATGTGAATGTTGGGGACAGTGCAGGTAGCAAGTGGTGGGTCCCATTTTTATTTATTTTTGGGGTATCACATTGCTCAACTTCCTACATAAAGTTTACATCATTTTGCATTAAAGCTTCTAACATTAGATCCTCCCTGGTAGTGGTTCAGGGCCATTTTAAAGAGGTCAACCATGCTCAAGGGACACTGAGCAACTTCTAGCCACAGCAAAGGCTCTGTCTTCCTGTGGACACTGGGATCCGTAGTAGCCAGGTAACATGTAGAAGATCCCAAGACCACAGTACACAGATCTTTTTTGGAATTCTGAGTGAATTAATACTCCAAGTGAATTCATCCATGAGAGGATGAACAGAGAGGTTGATAGCAGATATTAGTACCACATCAGCAGTAATGCAGAGTGGAGTGGAAGCGCTGAAGTGAAAGCTGAGCCTGGCATCAAACTTCTCGACTTACCGGTGGATCTGCTTTCTAACCCTACCCATTAGTCATTGGAAGAATGAGGTTGTAGATGCAAGCATCTGAAACAAGTTTCATTCGCTGGGTGATGCAAAGAGAGGGTGATCTGAGACATTTGAAAGAGACGCTGCTCTTCAGACATCTGATTTCTCTGGAGGTATTCCAGACAGATCCAACTGGAAAGAGATCACAGCACAGAGTCAGAATACCCTGGAGGGATTACATAGGATGTGGCTAGGGAGAAAGACATATGGGCAACTTTGTTTAGCCTGCTGTCACCAAGATCAGCCACAGAAAATGAATGTATGGGCTCCAGTAAAATAATAAACAAGATAACATAGATACCAAGCAAGTCGATTCTGTATCACCTATTATTCATTTTCACACTTAAAAGTTTAGGTATGTAATCTTATTTAACCAAGAAAAATAGCCAGATGGGTGTAATGATAATGGTATCTTTCATTCAAGTACTGCTTTCCTCCATTTGATGTTTGTGCCACAGTGGTTGCTGTTCAGCGGAAGTTGCATAGTCTTGGTTTTAAACAAAACATTTTTGCTGTACATCATATGATCCACATTTTGCACAGGGACCATTTGTCTGCACTTAATTAAAAATGAACACGACAGATTAAGACCTCACTATCTGTATATATTTTTATTCTTTTACAGTCAGTTCAGTCAAAAAAGGAAATCATTTATTGTTGGATTTAAAATAAATATATTGTAAAGAATTCCCTACTAAATATATGTTAAAGAATAATCGGCTGGCATTACTATGTGCTGTGTTACAACTCACCAACATATTTTTCACATGCACAGCAGCAGCATTTCCATGTTTTTGAGCAGTCCATGCCCATGCTTGTCCTGAAGTCTATATAACCGTCCTGTCATGACTCACGAAATGATGCTCAAACCTGCTGCATAACTGATATATTGTATGAAGTGGTCTGCATTTATATTTTTAAAGCATGCTCAGGAGAAAAGTAATACACTATGTGTGTATGCCAGATGAAACAAAGCTGGGACTGTGGTTTATTAGTTTACTTAGGTAACTAAGTAGCGTTGGGCCTAATGCGTCAGAGCCAGCTGGGACATTTAGAGGATGACTTCCTCTATTTGCTTTGGTTCAGTTTACACTTTTGTGTACTGAGATGGGGGCTGATGTGTGTCTGTGTTTGTGCCTGTGAGTTATGTGTGGCATTTGAGCATTATGTGAGTACAACGAGGAGTTATGTTACTTCGCTGCAGACGTGAGCATAGACTGGTCATGTGTTTGGTTTGAGTGATTTTGCATAGCATACGGAGAAATGCCAGTTTAAATCTAAATCACTGAGCAAATACATTCAAATATTTTTATTTGAATACTTTTTTTCTTTTTTCTTACCTGTTTCCATTTGAATATGCAGGGGCATCATGTGTCATTGTGCTTGATTTTACTCAGTTATACAAGCATACATGTAGTAATACTGCAACATGTAGTTTGCTATTTTTATCACGTTTCCTAGTTACACGGATTAAAGGTATCTGGACATGCTGGACAGTCTATGTACCTTAATGTAAAATGCAATTTTTGCAACTTTTATTCTTATGAATTGATTTCATTATAACGGATTCATGTGCACGAGCTGCTCTTTGGAGCATGTTAATGTTGCCAAATCTAATTCATTTTGAGGTAAATGTAACAGATATGTAACTGTAACTAATAACACTTCCTTTAAAATTGTAGGTTTGCTATTGAATGAAATCAGTTTACTCCATTGTAAAATGAGAGCAGTGCAAATAAAGCAACTGATGCTACTGAACATTTATTTATTTAAAATTTGTACAAAATGGCAGAAATGACCTAAGAGATGAAAAAAAACACAATTTTAAATAAATGAATGACACATTTTTTTTTATTTTGAAGTACAAAAACGATAACACTGCCTCCCAGTTTTGAACTTTTATGTGTTTCCCCAGGTGTCCAAGGTGATATTTTCCTAAGTCTAGATGATTTTATTTTTATCACATTAACATATCATTTTTAAACCCTGTGAAATTTAAATAAGTAATATATTACAAATTGCAGGCTCCAGTAAACCAGCTATTCTAATGTTGTTATGAATGTAAAGCATAATTTCTCCCATGCATTTTATGAACACCATGTATGATTTTTATCTGTGAATAATAATAATGTACTTAATGCACCTGTCATCAACATTGTCAGCAATGAATGGCTGTAAACACTGGTGGTAGCAGCACAATGTAGATTTGTTTAATTTTGTTAAAATCTGATTTCATTTGAAAATAACATTTTTCATGTTTTCAGGTGAACTTTGCCCAATATTGCACTGTAACGTAGAGATAATGTAATTTCTTTGAAAACTTTCTTGAAAATGTTTGTCAAATAACAAACAAATACAACACCTGCTGATTTTGAGGTTTAATGTAAGAAAGTGATTGCATCAGTGCTTGATTTTGTATTAAACAAGAGGGATACGGTGAGGTGACGGTGGTTCGAGATAAGTGCAAAGGCTGTATGAACGGTTAAAGGAAAGGGGCACATGTTTCAATGAAATGTCCTCTAATGAGATACAGCTGTGTATTACCCACAGCCTTTTCTATGCATGATGTCAACTGTGTTGCGAGGCTGGCCCAGGAACAGGAAGAGGTCAGGACGACAGCTGAGAGATACCTTGAAAAGAGAAGTGAGTGCTGTGTTTGCACTTACAACATGGAAAGTATAAGAACATGATTAGTGACTGTTATGTAGACTGACAAGCCTACATATGTTTGCAATAAATTCAAAATGCAAGCTACTGAACATGTGTGTGTCCATTTTAATCATTTTAAGGCCTCCTTGTGTTTGAATGACATGCATTTACTGCCACTTTCAAAACAGCTGCGCTAATATCAAACATTTGTTTAACTAAATAAAATTAATGTTTATTCAATTAATCTTTGATAGGTGGTATCATCAACAAGGAAATGATGTGAATAAACAGAAGCTGTGCTTATTCATCAAGATACTCTAAAGTGAAACCCAATACATGTTTTTTTGCAAGAAGCAGCTTTATTAGTGAATAATTACTAATTCATTAATGCTTTCATCCACTACCAAAACACTGTTAGGATATCATGTTGTGTGAAATCCATGTGCCTAGTTAGACAGTCAGTGCATGTAGAAGTGAGCATAGCAATGGCAATAACTGATTTGAACATGATTAATAATAAATAAATCAAATGAAGGCTATTATGATTGGAACTTATATTTTCCTTCTGACTGTTATTGAAAAGTAAATAAGTTAAACAGGAGCAATAAAAAATGTGCCACATCAAAGTAATATCTATATCTATCTATCTATCTATCTATCTATCTATCTATCTATCTATCTATCTATCTATCTATCTATCTATCTATCTAT